AATTGCTTGCATTCAGAAAATCTGCCCTGTAAATAAGTGCAGGCAAATTCATCCCTGCTGAAACTTTATTGATTTGAAATTAAAATCAGCTTCTGGTAAATGATCCATATGGGAAATACACAGTTTGATTAATCAAAGGAAAGCATCCTTTCTGATATGTGTTAGTTGCTGCTAATACAGTTCTTGCAATTGTTGAAATTAAATGTTCAAAAATTTAATGGAATTTAATAGTGGTGTAAGTGCTGGGTCTAGCTAAATGGTCTAATGGACTGCATGCTAAAAGCCAGATATCAAGGCATGTATGAGCATGAACTGTTTTGTGGTTTGCATAACAATACAGGCAACTGTCATAGAGACAGATAAACAAAAAGTAGGGTGCTGTTTACACAAAGGGGAAATCTTTAAATCAATTTCTAGTCTATGTAGTTCAGAATTTCTAAAATTAAGCAAAAGTAGCTTGGCATCCTGATAACTACACAGAGAAAGTTTGGAAAGCTCAAGCATCATCTAATAAATTTTCTTTCATCAGGGTCAAAAGTTTTTAACCTGATACAGCACTTCAAGCCCACTGAAACTGTACTCAGGTATTTTCTACCCTAGATGTGCGATTTTGGACCATATCTTCAGCCATCTTGAATTTTATTCTCTTGTGGCTATTTGATAAATTTGCTGAGTTTTTTTTATATTTTCAATGTTAGTGATAATGATATTGTCATTCCAGTGAAGCTAAGAAAATATGAAAGTAAAAGCTCTTTAAACACATATCCTAGCAGACAGGAACTGGAGTAATGAAATAATACCCATTCAGTGTCATAATTTGTTTATATTGATGGTCATTGGAGAGGGCAGAGGATTTTTAACCTCCAAAAGCAAGAAAGGTAGATCATAAAATTTAAACTACATATGAAGATCATAAAAAGTAAATTCTAGAAATAGAATATCTAGACATATCTGAAAGAAGGCAAGTCTTCTGCTAGAATTTTAGCGCATAAATCCAGGACAGATTTCAAGCTGCAGTCTTGTTTATAATTTGGTAGTTGTAATGATTAAGAAATTTTTGACTGAACTGATGAATGGTGCCACCTTATATAACTCCCACAAGAGAGCACTGTGCATTGCTTGGAGTGAATGTGTGAGGTAACTCCCATATATTCCACTTAACTGACTTGAAAATAGATGTTATAATACTGTAGAATCAGAAATCAAAAATAATGGAATTTCACAGGCAAAATTTGACATATGAAATATGCATGATTGCTTAGATTTTAAATCTAGCACAAATTAGTCGATATTAATGCATTAAAACACAAAAAACTTAGTAATTTTTTCAATCATTTAATAATCAATTTATTGATGAATATCACATTAAATGAAGGCGGTTGTTTATCAATTTGTATGTATATGTGACTAATGGAAACTCTAAACTTTGATTTAATTCTCCCAGTTGCCACTGATCTTTCATTTACTTATGAGCCATCAAGTAAAACTGGCAAGGTCTTACTAAAATGAAATTGAAAGACAGAGATTCATGAGTTAGCACTTCAGAAAAAATATTGCTAAATGTGTTTAGTAAACTAATATACTTCAAAAATTATATCACATATAGGAACATTTTTCAAGCATTGGTATTTAAAATAATATAATAAGAATTATAAGCTAAATCAAAATATTTTTTGTGTTATGTGTGTTACCTGTGTGTTCAAGTCAGCATGTTCTTCATAAAAAGAAACTGTGTAATGCTTGGGGTTTTTAACAGACCTAAAGCATGAATCCTGCATGCTTGGGCAACTTGAATATAGATTTTTTGTATGTTGCATACAAATCTCAATATTGGCATGAGACAGTGGAATATAAAAAGAGTTAAAAGCCCCTGAGATAAAATTCAAATAAAGGAACTCTACATACAGGTCTTCTCCCCTTTGAAAATTATGTTTCAGATTTGCTGTTAGTTTGCAACAAAAGATGTTTCATCAGTCACCGCAGAACACAGATTCAGATGCAATTGAAGAAAACATATGCTTCATATTAAAGACACTAACAAAGAAAGAGAGAAGAGAAATAAGATGAAGACTTCAAAGTCAATAATTCAGGAAGTTTAGAGATTACAAAATTATGTTCCTGTAAATCTTAGTCCAACCCTGTGTGCTTATACATTTTTGCACAGCCATGTTTAATATACGTGGTATCTGCATCCCTGTGAGAAGCTGTTTAAGACCTCTCCAGATCTTCCCAGAACCACCCACACCATACAGCATGAAATCTGACAAACAAGATCCTTTTGACATCTATTATGCAGCTAACTTCTGTGCATCACCATGCCCAGATGTATTCTGCAGCCAAAAGCGACTACAGTTTGGTACACTCATTAATCTTACTGCAAGGACAGGACACACTGTAAAGAATTTTGGGTGAGAAATTAACATGCTCTACTAGTGTTTCCTGCAGGACTGGGCAAACATTTAATATCTGTGATGTTTCAGGTGGCAGTCAGATGCTGGGAGGACTCCTGGCTGCTGGACAGTCAGACAAAAGAGCTCATGAAGAACCTTTGACAGAGGAAAGCATCATGTGAACCACTGCAGTGATTTTTCAGGAAACATGTTGCAGTCTGCAGACTGCAACCACAGTCTGCCTGGTGGTCCAGACTTTGGCTTAATACAGGCTGCTGGAAATATGCTGCTTCTGCTCAGTGGTTATTCTTTATGGGTCATATGTTTTATTGGTCAGAACAGGGCTAATAGATGACTTCTGGGACTGCATCTTTACTGTAATCCCTCAAATCAAATAGCCCTGACATTAGAACACTGTGTATCTGTGTCTCTCTCTCTCTCTTCTTCTTTTCTGGATGTAGGGCAGCATGGTGAGGGGGTATAGACTACCTGTGGCATGCCTTGCAGAAACTCCTAGAAAGTACTGTACTAAAGACAGGAGAACTTAACCTCAGGCTAGTACCAAGTAGTACTGCCATAACAGACTGATTTTCAGGCCTTTTTTTTTTTTTTTTTTTTGACATCCATCTAACTTCCATTACTTCATTTGGAATAAAGTGCTGCAGTCACCAAGGGAAGATATTTTATCTCAGAAGGAGTTTACAAGTTATGTACTCAGCACAGCCTGCCAGACTACTCCTGTTGACTACAATTCAACCCTGTCTTTCAAGTGGAGAGTTCAAAAATGTCACCAAACTTAGCACGGTGACACCTAACTCTAAGAAGGCTTTGGGTTAACACAGCATGGCAGAATGTTGCTCTGTCTATAAGTGTTCATGCATGAACTGAGGTTTTGGAAGTTAAGGTGGCAGTTAAGTCTTATGTGGCATGTGTCACAGATACAGTATGTGATATGAATGTGGACCACTCTGCCTGTGGGTGTAAGGGCCCTTGTTTAATCTCCCATGCCAACTGATCACAAAGTTTTCTTGTTTGATGCCAGCACACTGTTCTGCACAGCCACTAAAAGATGAAATTATGTGGTCATAAGGAAAAGCTTTGGAATCTGCTTGAGAGTAACTGAGATGCAGCCACTGAAATAATATATTTACATAAAATTCAAAATATTGATTTAGATAAAGAGGGGGGAAATACACATAGTTTTTAACTCCACAGTTTTAATTGTGTTACATTTTAATTTGCTTATAAATGTGTGGACAATTGTGTTACATATATGGGACTTAATGTTTTTCTCTCAGCTCTTTCTGCTTGGCTCTGTACAATGGACCTCACTTTTATTTGCAATGTATGAATACCTGTATAATGTCCCACAACTTTATATTTAAATGACAGTTTTACATCCCTAAGTAAAAATTTCTTCTCTTTTTCTTTCCTAGAAAAGGTAATGTCAAGAACTTGGCTCGTGACTCTAAACAGAATTAAACAACATGTAGTATTTAGTTATGAATTTTTCTACATCTTGAAGCCCATACAAGCATAAAATTGGATTGTAGCTAACTGATTGTTGTGGAAACTAGATATGTCTGTTCTGGTTCTGTGTATGCATGCTTTAAGAACTTTTCAAGGTGCCTCTTACATTGTGTTTTTCAGACTTAGATCTAAACCTGTTCTTAAATAATGGGTATTTTTTAGTTTTTATCACACTCTTTTCTGATAAAACTCTCCAGATGTTGTGTCTGAATACTTGCATATTTTGCAATGTAGTTCCGTAAATCAATGTTTTGTCTTATAAGATTGTTTGATTACCTACCCTTGACCTTTTCCACCCAGCTTTACAGGGAAACTAGCATGATCTGAGTAAACAAAAGCAAAAAACCCAGGAAGGCAAAGGAGCACTGAATTGATTTCATTTCTTCCTTTTAATATTTTTCTGATTAGTAAAAATTCTGGAGATGTAGCTGTGCAGACAGCTGTGCCTGTGCTTGAAACTGCATGTGCATACCTCATATTCTTTTATCATTTTGCTTACAAATTTCTTGGTCATTTTAAGGAGCATGTTCAAATTTGCCATCTAACTATGCTTTATTGTTTCATATGTAATTTTTTATATCCAGGCCTCACATAACAGAATAATGCAGAATCACTGAGGTTAGACAGGACCTCTGGAGATCTTCTAGTCTACATAGAATGAAACCTAGGTGTATAAAATAAAAATACAAAATTTAGATTTTTTTACTTAAAGAGTCTGGTTGGTAAAAATTACTCTGTAGAATTTATTGTAGAACTTCAAGACAGACAAAATGCATTCCTAATAATTTAGAATAGTTATATTTGGTTACAGATATCTAGTAATCTTGTGTACATTTTCAGAATACTTGCTAAATAGTATCAAAATACTTTTGATGCAACTATATCTTGAATTAGAATCAGAGAATCTTTGAATCGTTTGAGTTGGAAAGGGCTCCTAACAATCATCTCCCTATGTTGGAGATGGACATTTTTCATTAGAAAATATTGCTCAAATGACCTAATTTATTTTTGTATATACAAGTTTTGTGTTAACTTGCTGATTTTTAGAAATACTTTTCACTCTTTTTCATTCTTTTTAAGGTGCTGGTGGCTGGTCTCCACTTGCGTCCAATAAATATCAATGGCTTCAGATTGATCTTGGTGAAAGGACTGAGATTACTGCTGTTGCTACTCAAGGTGGTTATGGGAGCTCAGACTGGGTAACAAGCTACCTTCTGATGTTCAGTGACAGTGGACAGAATTGGAAACACTATCGTCAAGAAGAAAGCATTTGGGTATGTTCTTTCAATAATGAGAATTAATTTTCTTCAAAAGATTTAAAGGCGACTTACTGCGTATTGTTGCAAATCTAAGCAAAGCTGTAGAATATAAAGAATTACACTAAAAATGTTTAGATAATGAAATATACAAAGCAATTTAGCTCTTGAAAGGATGAAAGACAGTAAAAAGCAAACAAACGTCAAAAATCTAGCCATAGAAGTACTCCATTAAGACACAAGGAATTATTCTGAGGATTAAAAATGTACTTCAAAATCTCTTTTGTCTTGCTATGTATGGCAAACTTCTTTTCTCCAAAAGCATTGATCCCAGTGCATGAAACTTGGTTTTTTGTTATGGTTAAAAAACAAAATAAAACACTTACTTTATTTTTGATTGTAAGAATAAAATGAAACAACCAAAGGAAAAGAAATATTAAGCAAGCAAATCCCAGTCTATTTAAAAAAGCAAATAAGCTAAGCAATATTTAATTTTTGGTCATCAAATTCAGAGTCTGGTTTCTGATGCTGTAACCTGCTTATCTCTGACTATCTTTGTAAATATGATAATTAATAAGCCATTAATAAGATCAAGAGTTTCTTTTTGCATGAATATAAATGACAGAAAAGAAGAAAAAACCTGAGGTTGTGTCCGAAGTCTACATGAAAAAGTGGACTATATAATTTTAGAAAAGGCTTGCATCTTTCTTTGATCCCCGATAATTGGCAGGTTAGACTAGAGAAAGAGTATTGGAACTTGTGATATGTTATTGTAACCTGTCAAGTGAATTCTGTTCTCCATGCATAGAGCTGATTTATTTCTAAATTTTTCTAAGCCTTAGAGTTCACTTATTTCTTGCTGCAGTTAAAAATGATGCTAAAATGTGTTTCATTTTATGCATTTTGATTCTGTTGACTTTTAATTCAAAATGTTCATGTCACTCTTACTGTCAAAGCCTATCTATGGTATAATGAGATTATGCAGTGTTTTACTTGTTGCATAATTATCCTTCTTTTTAGATTTGCTACATACTTCTGCTTCAGATTGTGTTTTCATAACAAAGAGAAATAAATTAGTTTCTAATCCATATGGCTGTGGGGAGTTAGAAAATCAATCAATTTTCCAAATATTAAGTGAGCATAAGCTGCTACAATATTGTCTTTGCTCATCTTAAGACAGTCTGACAAAACATATCTGAGAGGTAGGGCAGTTTGGTCTCTTCCATGATGGCTCTTTTGAAATTTGATATTGGCATTGCAAATAATGATGCAGATTGTTATTTCTTGAATATTGCCACCAGTAAAATATCAAATGAAAGTGAAGAAAAATAGTTAAGTGCTGATGCAGCCATTGGATAAAGAGTGTTGTTGGACCTGTAGGAGCTAAAAAGTGAAGCTTCTATTCCATCATCTCAAACTTAATAAAAATTATTATTTTAATGATTGCAATGCAGATTGAAGGTATGGCTTGCAGGTAGTAATGAATAATTCAAGGATGCAAACCATCAAATTCAGGGCAGTCTATTGATCTTTTTTATGTATCTTTATTTAGGAGTTCTGCTTCTAGGGGAATATATTTTCTCTTTTCTAAACTAATACACAGATGTAGTCTCAAAGTGAAACTCTTAAATCCCTATTTATTTTATAGATTTTCTCTGACTTATCTCTTTATGCTGGCTTCTTAAATTACATACTCAAGTTCATTAAGGCAAGAACCTCCAACATTTTATAAACTGTACTGTGTTACTTCTATCCTGTGTTTGACTGAGTCATTGTCCTGTTACAAGGTTACTGACCAGAAGTAACTTTTCAGGTTTTCTTAATACTATTCTGCATTAGAATGATGGCAGTTGTTCAGTTCTGAGGGCGCTGTGTTGAAATCTTCACTAGAATTTTTACTTCATAGCCACTTTTTGTAGATTTAAGTAGAGATAATTGTCTGCAAAGTCACCGCTTCCTGCTTCCTATTTTTCTTTTCAGAAGACAGTTTTGAACTGTCTTTGTTTCCTTATGGTTTATCTTAAGGTTCTGAAACTCCTGTCACTGTGCAGCTATTACAGCTTTTTCATCCACTGTAAAATTTTTATAGCAACTGAAGTCAAAGAATACTATCTACACATCTGCAAATGATCCATTTATCAAAGCTCTCTTAATAGTCTGTGGAGAGGTAGTTTTTTCCAAGGCTAACTCCTCTGACCATAGGTGTCTTCCTTAGTTTGTAATGAACCATATTTCATCTTCCCCTGCTTATAAAACACTTGGTTGTGTGTCAGTGCTGAATTTGGATGTAAAAATTCTGAAGTTAGGTGAGATTAGCCTCTCTCCCTTCCCTGCTGCTAAATATTAAATATTTGTTTTCACTTTTCTGTGTATTAGGAATTGGTTTAGAGAACATCATGGTGACTGTAGTTTTTACTTCTGCAATATATTTTGCTCTCCGTGTTCTAGTTTTCTTGTTGTACTGATGACCTAGATGTATGCATTACTTTCTGTTTCTTAACTGTAGAAAGCTTGTATTTTATTTGGATTTAATTTATTGCGTAAAGTAATTTAATTACTAATTACTAGAGGAGTGTTGGAAAGACTAATTACATTATATTTAATTTCTAGCACTCTTGTACCTATAGATAAAGTATTGTTAAGTATTTTTAGCTATATGTTCTAAAATAGAGTTTTTATTATTTCAACAATACATTTTGATTTCTGTCCCTAGTGACCTTACTGTCACTGTTTTTTTAAAGTTAATTGTAAGTATTTTCTGCCCTGTTCTTGGTATTTATTTTAAGATTGTTTTTTCAGTCAGACCTTAGTAGAATCAATATTTATATCTCTTTTAGTAATTGGTACAGTTCTGGTCAAGATGTAATTCTCAAGTGAATTAGTTGTTATATAGTAGTAAAGCACATATTTTTGCACAGAAATAACTGCCTTTGATAATGATTAGTTGAATCTTGGAAAGAAATTAATTAAACTCAATTTTATAATTTCTTTAATTTTACCATAAATACAGAAGTTTTTGAACAACACATGTTGTGCCCTTTTATATTCTTCAATCTTTTTATTGTGTTCCTATTCCTTAGGATATAGTTTCAGTGGCAGTAAAGTCCAAACTTCCAAGCCAAATCTCTTGCATTGTTCTTTTTTTACCTTTAAAATGGGCAGAGGCCTTAAATCTCTTTGTATATGAAGTTATCAGATATTTTCCTCTGGAAATGATGATTTTTTTTTCACTTTTCTTCTGTCAGACCTCAGGAGGTATACAGTAAAACATAATAAAAAATACATTTAAATTTTGGTCAAGAAGTGCTAGGAAGTCCTATGTCTTTAAATACTACTTTTATTAGAAGTATTGCTATTTATTCATCCTCATTATTTGTATTTGTATTCTTCCTCGTAATTCTAGATATCATCACCTGTATTTTGGTGGTGAAGAATCTCCTGTTGTAATTATATTTATCTATTTTGGGGCTATGTATACTGATCCTTTCAACTAGAATAATTTCTGGATTTAACTAAATTCATGGTTTGGTATGACAAGTGTTTTTGTGCTGTGTACTCTCTCCTTGACATTACCTATGGCTCTTCTTTTAAAAGAAGAGTAATAAGATAAAGAGATTAAAACGGAGGAGTTAAGAGGGGCAAAAAGTATAGCAATGCACAGTTTGAATAACAAGTTTCCAATGGCTGACAATTCCAGTGAAAACAGGAGTCATATAACTCATGAAGAAAAGCATCTCAATGTCATTCCAGGAGTCTTGAGGAAAAAAAGAAATGCAATTCCTCTCTGATTTAATGTTGAATATTTCTTCTCTGACACACCTATGGAAATACACATATATTCAGCCTTCAATTTTGTTTGTGAGGAATAATAATTTATCTATTCCACAGTGGAAATGAAATTTCACTTTTATTTCTTTTGAATCTTCCCTTTAAAAATTATTTCCAAAGAGAGAAATTAAATCTAATAGACAAAAATAGCTAAAATTTGAGGAAATTACAACCATTTTAATAAATTCTCCTTTAGAAGAAAAATTTGTTTATGTCTGTTTATTTTTATACATATATTTAGGTTCTGAAGTCTACTGTGTGTTTAAGTTAACTTAGCTGAAGTTAAAAGTATAATTTTATCATAATATGCTCAACCTTATCAGTTTGCACAGAAGTATTTTCACTGTAACATTTATTATTTCTATGGTATGTAGCATAATTTTATGAATGGTGAAGAATTAATTGTGTTTGCATTGCTACACAATTGCTTCACAACTTCCTTTTTAAAGGAATTGGGGCTTTATATTTTATTGGAGACTTCCTATTGTGCAAAATAACTCACAATTATGCAAAGTTACAGGTTAAGAAATACCAAATCACAAATATTCTGTGATAATCACATTCTAAGTTTAAAGAATACATTGTTTTTATAAAGCTGGTGACTCTTTCTTAGACTCAGTGATACACGTCTGCTATGATCCTCCTCCTTAGAGACCAGTCATCATTCTTGATCATAATTTCCTTCACTTTAGTAGCAAAAGACTGCTAGTTGTATATGTGCTACTTTTTTTGACCCAAAAGGTTTTTCTGTTGATTCCTTCTACGAGACAAGTCATAGGTAAGTTCAAAGGGTACTCTATCACTACATTTTCCATAGGTACAGTTTTGAAGTATTGTGACTTCAGACTGCCTGAGAACCTCTTTATCTATGAATTAGAGCTTATAGTAATGACCGCCATGAGGAACCCACACTGGACTATTGAGTAGCTGAAGGACTGCAGTCTGTGGAAAGGACACATGCTTAAGTACAGAAGAGTGTGAAGAGTCACCCCCCTTAAAGGGGAAATGTGTGACAGAAAACACTTCTGCTGGAAGGCATCCCTGACCATGGCAGGGGTTCTAGGACTAGGAGGTCTTTAAGGTCTTCTCATACAACAAGCCCCAGCCCATCAATCCAGCCTGTTTGGATCCCTCTGTAGAGCTTTTTACTCTCCAGCAGATCAATATATCTGCCCAGCTTGGAGCTGTTT